CAACAAGCTGTAACCATCTTGTAACAGACTGCAACTGTAAACAACTTACCTGTCTATAAAAACCCGAAGAAGAAATAAAGAGGCACGGAATTCCATCTGAACAGATCTCTCTCTCCCTCTGAATCCCCTTTTCTTCCCCTCTCTCTGTTTGCCTTCAGTTCATCTTCCCTCATGAGCTTGGTTCACTCTACGAACCCTGAGTTAGGCAGCACCTAACATACTCTTTGCTTCATTGATGCGGAAGTTGATCATCTGGAGATTCTCTTAGGGGTGCTCAGTTGATTTGAAGTGGTCTCGGGTTTGAGAGTCAATTGGACTAAGAGCAGACTGATTCCTGTGGGAAAGGTGGTGAATCTTGAAGAGTTCACAGAAGTTTTACCTGGTTAGATTGGATGTTTGCCTATTTCCTATCTTGGCCTCCCTCTTGGAGCTAAATGTATCTCTGCGATGGTGTTGGATCCAGTGGTAGAGAGTGGAGAGGAAGCTTACTTCTTGGAAATCCAAATATCTGCCATTGGGGGGCAGAATCACATTATTAAAAAGCTCTCTCTCTAATCTTCCTTCCTATTTTCTATCTTTATTTCCAATTCCAGTCAAAGTAGCTCAGAATTGAGAAAATCCAGAGAGGCTTCCTTTGGAGGGGTTGGGAGGAGGAAAAGAAATTACATCTGGTTAACTGGGATCAGGTATGTGGTCCTAAGGAGAAAGGGGCTTTAGGGATCAGGAAGCTAAAGTTGTTTAATAAAAGCTCTTTTGGGAACAGGAAGCTAAAGTTGTTTAATTGCGGCAAAATGTGATACTGACAGGGGGGACTGATTAACCACTAATCAGTTGAACTCATTAAGTTGCTCCCTATATTAGAAAGTCATGGAAGTTCTTCCTTGGATTAGCAGTGGATTGACTCCAGAGGTGGGGAATGGGAATAGGCTGTAGTTCTGGAAGGATACTTGGTGTGACAGTAGACCTCTTGCTGAAGTTTTCCCTCAGCTGTTTTATATTGCAGAAAATCAGAATGGTTCGGTGGCTAGTCAGTTTGAAGTGAGTGGGGGTACTATTACTTGGAGCCATGCATTTAGAAGGTCATTTCAGGACTGGGAAATTGAGAAGGTTGCAGATCTCTTGGGGTTGCTGTACAAGCAGCATAGTTTTCAAGGCACCAAGGCGAGGCTAGGCGATTGGGGGGCACCTTGTCGCCTAGTCGCCTAGGCGATGGATTTTTTATGTTAAAAGCATAGATCCTAGGGTAGTTCCCTAGGTACCATAACCATATTTCTTTAATAATTATTCATGATTTTCATAAGTATAAATTTCATATTAAAGTATAGAAAATCAACATATTCATGAGAAGAAAAGGAAGAAGGAATATATGGAAAAGAAGAAAATAAAAAGTATTGGTAGTAGTTGTAGAAGAAGAATATATGGAAGAGGAAATGTGCTGATTAGATAAAATTTTTAGTTCTTCCTTATTGGTTCAGGTTTCTAAGTCTTTGAGGGTTCAATACAGCATTTAGCAATGTTTGTGTTGATTAAACCCTAATAAATAAGAAAATAATAAAAAGAAATTAGTATATAAACACACAAAATGATTATTTTAGTTTAATAATGTCTATTTTATGATTATAATCTCAAAAAGGAATGAATAAATAAATATTTTATAGTAGGAAGTAGAAAACTGCTAGGCGATTAGGCGGACGCCTTGTTGCCTAGGCGTCGCCTTGACAACTATGACAAGCAGTTCATAGACTTGTCGTATGAGGACTCTTGGAGTTGGAAGTATAGTGTGTATGGTATTTTCTCTGTTAGTTCTTTTGGTGGGGCTCTGAACGGAGCAATTCAACCAAAAGTTCCAGCTGAGAAATTTTGGAACCCTTCAGTGCCCTCAAAAGTGAATGCTTTGGTTTGGGCAGCGGTTCTGATAGATGTCGTACCAAAGATTCCCTGGTTAGGAGGGGTGTGCAGATTCAGGACCTGCTGTGTGTTCTATGTGGCCAAGTGGCTGAGGACAGCAAGCATCTGTTCATTCACTGTTCTGTTACAGCTGCAATCTGGAATCACTTTCTGTCGGGATTGTGGCTTCTATGGTGTATGGTATGTTTTGTTTTGGATATGCTATGGAGTTGGGAGCTTAAGGGTAGTTCAAAGTTGGCGAGGTGCATTTGGATTGTCCTGCCTGCAGCCATTTTATGCACAGTCTGGATTGAAAGAAACAGAAGAATCTTTCAAAACAAGGCTTCTAATATAGATTGCTTGATTGCCTTTGCTTTCGGCAATCTCATTTCCTGGGTGGCTGTGGCTAAGGGCCTTCAAACTTCTCTCTGTTCTCAGTTGAGATCCAGGGACTTTCTCGAGTTATGATGTACTGTAGGTGGTTTAGTGTGTTTGGCTCCTTGTCTTGGGGGCTTTGGTTGTAATCTGTTTTATCAGGTGTTCCATGAATAAAATTTTACCTTTCTCCAAAAAAATAAAACAACTTTGGGTGAAGGGACTTTCCCTTCCACATGATTATCTAACAAATGTAAATCTTTTAAATTTTGAATTCAGCTACCATATCTGACATAACCTTGCTGGAAGTTTTGTAGCCACAGCTGTCTAAAATCAGTGTGTACTTCTGTTTGACTTCATGAATTTTAAAGCAATTCTGTTTTGTTTGTAGGATGCAGAAAATTCAACCTTTGCTGGAGATATTACGGCCAAAGCTTATCCTGGTAGTGAAATCTAACTTCGGACATGTCATTAGCTTTTATGGAAGAACTAGATGAGAATGCAATTCTTCTAATTATAACTTTGCCATTTAATATTTTCATTTTTTTCCTGATGCTCAACACAGTTCCCAGAGGACTTGATGGCACACATGATCACTTCACATACGGGTTCATCTGTATATTTTGGCTATTCTGAGAATGAAACAATATGTGTACCAAGGTCTAGGGATGAGTTTGAAGTTGATTTGGCAACAGACTTGGTGTTCCAGCTACAGCCAAGAAGAATAAAGCAGGAAAATGCTGCCATTGCGAGGCTTAAAGGAAAGTACCATGTACATCATGGACGACACTTGCTGATATCTGAAAACGAGCCTGTTAATCATTCACAGAGCCGACTGCTGTTGCAATGGGGTTCCCTTGACCTGACTCTCCTACTGTTAGCTCTAAGAGAGAAAGGCATCAACGGGTCTATAGACAATGATGGAATGGGAGAACATAATAGTTGCTTTCTACGCATCTATGAGCCCAAAAAGGCTTTGATAGAAACCACTGGAACACTTACTGTAGTCAGTGCAGTTGACGAGACTTTAGCCTCCATCATCTTTCAAACCATTTGCAGTGTTTTGGATGCTATTTAGAAGAACGTTGGGTCTTTTTTATGTCCATTCTTGGCAATCTCCTACCATCTAATGTTATGACAGTTTTTTGGTCTGAAAAAGTCTCGAGCTTCATATCAGGGAGCAGTCACAGTTATCGGAGTAAGAGATAAGCCCGATTACTTATTTTTCCTTGGGCTCAGTTTGAAAAGAGTACAAATACAAATATGTACAATACAAATACATACACAATAATACAAAATATAAGGTTTTACACTTTATATATTTGCATTTATACTCCTTCCAAACCATGCCTCCTTGTGGAAAGATGCTATGAGGACACTTAGTACCAGTTTTGTTTTGGCAAATGCTAATATGTTGAAAACACTAGACATGCTATGAGAATGAACTGACCCCCGCCCCCCTATTGCAAGGACATAGCATTGGATGCTGAACTGCACTTAAAATAATCTCATTCATACAATAAAGCAAATCAGCTTGGGGACAAATTGGCCAAAGGAGGACATAATGGGAACACATATTTTGGGGAACTATTTAGTTCTTGATTTTAACTAAATTGCTTTTTTTTTTTTTTTGTAAATTCCAAGTTTTCATTACTGGGATATTGAAGGAAGAGAGGTTTTATGATTGTCTGAAACATCAGGGGAAGTCTTTATATTTTACCCTATATGAAATGAACTTTTTACCATACAACCCCCTTATTGGCATGATTCCTCTTATGACATCGGGTCCCATGAAGTGAAGTAAACTTGTGACCATACAATCCCCTTCGCCGTTATTACACCGGTCACATGAAGTTAGAGGCCATCAATCACTTGTCATATGAAGTATTGTTCACTTCATATCATACCAGTTGCAAACCAATTAATAATGGGTTCTATGATAGACCCAAATTTGGGATAATTAGGTCTAACTAGTCAGATCCGATTATACTTGATATCTATAATTACTATGATAACAACTTAAAATAGTATATATGTAAAACAAGTGTTTTTTAGTACCCTGAACTTTGGGGGTAGTGTTAAGTTAGTAACTGAACTTCCAAATGAATCACTGCAGTACTTAACTTTCAAAATAGTGTCAAGTTGGTCCTTACCATTAAGTCCAAGGTTTAAAATATCAATACGCCTGATATGTCGATAGGGGCGTATCGGGTGAATCGATACACATTTTCAAGCCTTTTTTTTTTATTTTTTTTTTACAATTGGTTAAGGGGGGCCGGTTTAGGTCTCCTCTACCCCTTGAACTGGTCAGACCTCCGATACACCCACTGTAAGGGAATATCGGAGGGGATCTAGAACGATATGTATTGGCCGTTACGGGCTGATACGTGTCGATACTTTGAACCTTGCTGTTAACTGACCATCAGTTATTTGTTGAAAATGTCAAAATTACCCTTCAAAAGAAGACACGGTTCATTCTCTTCTACCTTGAGATTGAACCGGTTGAGGTGTTTGATATTCTAGACTAATGAAGTCATTTAGATCTGAAACGCATATTTCATATTTCATGTTTTTTCTCTCTATCATATTTCAGTTCTTGTTTCCCTCTGTCATATTTCATGTTTTTTCTCTCTTTTCTTTGAAGATAACTGGTTCAGTCTCAAGGTAAAGGCAATGAACATTTTCTTTTTTGATGGGTAGTTTTGACATTTTTAACAGATAACTAACAGTCGATTAATGGTAGGGATCAACTTGACACTTTTTGAAAGTTTAGGTACTACAGTGACACCTTTGAAAGTTTGGATTCTAACTTGACACTACCCCCAAAGTTAAGGGTACTAAAGTGGAATTTTCCCTTTTAATTATGAAGCTTACCCTCTATAGGTAAAATATGACAAAATTTACAAGAAAACATAAAAGACCTTTATATGTTATTCACTATTAATGGTGAATGAACCAGAACTGACATAACCAGTTATGTTGGATTGGTCCTGTCCGGTAGACCTCACCCGCTGACAGCTCTTTATCCAGGTTTAAGATTTTAGAAAATGGAGAATCGTATCCCATATTTGCAGATTGTAAAATGGGAAGTTTCTTTGGTAATATAAGAAGAAAGAATATAACGAAATATTCATTTTAATTATTTATTCTTTAAACTAGTGAAGCATTGAAGTAACACAAAATAACGTTTGTGCTAAGTTGAAAACTTGGGGGGTCCTCTTCAATGTTCATTGTTTTTCTTGTCGTGTGTTTCAAAATCGAATTAAAACCATCTGGTTTGAAACCAAATTGTCCTTAAAACAAAGCATGTAACGTGTCTTTTCTCTTTGTTTTCAAAACTACCTTGTGGTTTGAGAAACATGTCTTCGTCCGGTGATCTGTTGTCATGTTTCATGAATCATATAATATCTTTATTCCAAAATTTAAAATCCCTTTGAAATCATTCATTTTGATGGTTTCAAAAAGTAAATGTTTTTTTTTTCAAAAAACAAAACGAACTTGTTTTCAACTTCTCGAGACATACAGTTTAAGAACATGCTTCAATTATTTTGGCTAACGTGACAATTTCAAAATGTTGTAAAACACCATTTTTTAGTGGGGTATTAACTTCGGAAATAAGAAAAGTTAGGACAAATAGTTTCTTACTTTTATCCTTATAGTTGGCATAAGGAATTCATATCAATCCTTTTGGTAATTTTCCTATAATCTTATGGGACCAAGCTCAGATTTGCTGCAACCACCATTCCAGAAAATATTATGAATTCATTACCACCCAATAAAATACTGGCACGATTCCCATTTGTTTAATATTCAAGACATCAGGTGATCTGCTTTTTGACCAACATATCCATTTATTATTGGAAAGTCAAAAGATTTTACTACCACCAGTTGTTGCAGATGCATTCTCTCTGAAATCTAACTCTTGCTGGAACAAGAGACAAGGGATGGTGGGATACAAGGATCTCTTTGCATGCTCACTTTATATGTTAATAACTAATACGTATAGAATATTCAGATTTAGTAATAGCAGGATATGTTGGATCTAACTTCTCATAAAGTAGGCTTTCATATTACATTTGAAGGATGCAAAACTTTGACATTGAAGAGCATTCTTAGCATCACGAGCTCTATGGCCATAGAGCCCTTTAAATCCCAGAAAGGACAATTTGCTAATTGTAAACAAAGGGTGCAAAAACATAGGATGGAAGCATCATATCTCAGTCTTTATGTTGTGATTCATTTCCTGAATAATGGTTTCTTCTATTTTTAGTTACAGTATAAATGTCAGTAGTTCATCTTCTGGATTTTTTAAATAATTTTGAAAATACATCTTCTACTATGAATGCAGAGCAGCAAAAAGACTGATTCATAAAATAGAATAAAATCATGCATGAGAAGGTTCATAGGTTCATATTGTATACATAGACAACACTCCACTCTGAACTTGGCATAGTTTATACATAGGTCTGTGCCCTCTGGTATCTTTTATGTTTCCTCTGATATATATGTTTTCTTTGATAGTTAACAGTTGACTTTATTGAGTTGAAAAAGAATGATTTATGTACATGCATCCATGGCAGTCCCAAAAGGTGGCATCATCCTGTAAAACTTCTACCATCTTTTTGTTCTTCAGTCTTGTTTGCTGACCAAGAATTTATAAATAAAAACAAAAATAGAAAACACAGACACCATGAACAAAGGGAAAGGAAACCTAGTTTCTGTGGAAAGTACTCAGTGTTACAAGAAAAAGGGCTTTCATCAATAAATTAAATTTTCCTCAGTTTGGTACACGAGCCATACAACAACAGTTAACAGCAGTAAGCACACAATCAGAAAGCATGAAATAGGTGCTTCAAAAGAATCAGTAAACAAGTTGTGGCTCAAAGTCTGCAAAATCCACTGATCCAGACTCAATTGGGGGCATGAGATATGCAGCCAAGAGCTCAGAGGCCAATGCTGCAATGAGTGGAATCCTCTTTAAGTTTTTCACAAAAGGTATGTCTTGACTCTCTGCAACAGCACTCAGCTTCTTGTTGATTTCCACCATCCTGTCCAGCTTCCGCTTGAACTCTGGGTTCTCAACATCCAGAACTGCTGGGAAAATCCTAGCAGTTGTGCGGTTTGTCTGAAAAAAAATTGAATCACAAAATATCCAACCAAATCATCAGAACATATCCAACAAAGGCAAATAAAATGTGCTGGTGGATGTTTTTAAATTCAGAAAAGGAACACAAACAGAAAAACCAGGTAGAGCAATAGAATGGCAAGGCAAATGAATAGGCACATGCACCATCTGTGTTTCTTTTTTTTTTTCTCTTATTTCATATCATGTGACCCAATGGCCCATGTATCAGACATTAAACTGATATGAGCAGATATTAGACCATAAGCGTTTTCTATATGCAAATAAGTGGGATTTTTTTTCTCACCAAACAAATTTAAAATAAAACCAATACTCGACTTGGGCGAATAATCTTATCTGGTGATTAGCAGTAAACTCTTTTCAGCTAAAAAGAAGTTTCTAAATTTCTAGAAAAGAAGAAAAGATACAGGGTCTAATAATGTACAAATGTTCATTTGAATGAATACATATATTTATGTCTGTATGTTTCTGTATATATAGAGATGAAAACTCATGTACCAATGAACTTCTATGTATATTAAGGTAATGTAGTAATCATGTTCTTGTGGAACAGTGTAACATACAAATCTGAAATTCAGGATACCTCAATAATGACATGCATGTCAAATTCTTTGGTGTTGAGTCCAATTCCCTCATAAAAAGTTGTTCGCTGGCAGTCGTTAAGGTACATTGTCACATATACCTGCAGGATGAAGTTGAAACTTGTGATGCATCTCAGAACAGGTGTGGGTGAAGAGGATAACAATATTTTAATTATTGAGAACTTAAGGAAAAGGAAACAACAAAAAAGGGAAAAGATAAAAGAAAACTCTTTGCATTTGTTATATGCTAGCATATCTTCTTCCTCATGTCACAAGGTTGCAGTCATTCAATTAGTTCCAGAACTGGATGACCTCCCCATCCCTGGAAGACCACCAAATTGGTCCAGATGAAATTACTATGGCTACACTTGGGAAGCAAGGATAGATTATGCAAAATTTTGATATCCAATTCCATTGTTTAAAGGCAAAAATCAAACAAGAAAAACAATAAAGAGACTACCATAGGAAGCTAAGAGCATGAAAATGGAAGATTTATTAATCAAGTGTTGGGGCACTAGGTTGCAACTTGCAACCACAAGGGCATAATTTTCAACCGACTAACTAGTTTTGGTCCTTACCAAGTTACCAGGATGGTTTATTAATCAAACCATTTGTAGTGATTTTTTTTAAAAGATGAAAAAACAAATTTAGACAAAGGAATTACCGATAGACAAAAGAATCGGGCCCACAACTTTGCTTTCCAGTCATTGAGGAATTGTGGCTGTGCCTTTAACAATGCAGAAAAGAAGTCCCCATGCCTGTTCTCATCTTGGCACCAGTTCTCAAAGTATTTGAAAATTGGATAAACTTGGAATTCAGGGTTGGCCTTGAGATGCCTGTATATGGTTATGTACCTCCAATACCCAATTTTCTCAGATAAGTATGTGGCATAGAAAATGAATTTTGGTTTGAAGAATGTGTATTTTCTAGCCTTTGTAAGGAAACCCAAGTCCAATGCCAAATTGAAATCAGCTAGGCCCTTGTTCAAAAACCTGTAATTTAAACATGGAAAAAAAGAACAGTGAGACTTAAATGGATCTATACTTCGTTATCTGCCACAAAATAGTTATACTGATCAGCGTACTATATATCTAAAATGGTGCACATTCTTGTGCTTGGTGATATGGGCCATAATTATCACATGGCTAGGGATCTTTACCATCAAATAAGCATTGCTATCTGATCAGGTTTCTTTCATGAATGGTTTGTTTTAGTTGTGAAGTGTGAATAGGATCATTAAGATGATCTGACTTCCTTGATGCCTATTAATGGGAATTCCCCTGGCAAGACCATATAAGGGATGGTGGGTTCTGACTAGGGGTGTCCATGAAAAACCGAACCGCAAAATGCGGTTAACCGAACTGATCGGTTTGGTTTAGGTTTGGAATTTATGAAAAACCGAAAGACCGGTTCGGTTTTCAGTTAACCTACAAAAGAACCAGCGGTTAACTGAACCGACTGGTATATATATTTATATGTATATTTTATATATATATTTTTAATATATGTTACATATTTTCTATATATTATATAAATATATACTTAACCGTGGACACCTCTAGTTCTGACCATACACAAAGATTGGTTGAGTCATTCCAGCCTGATTTAAAAGTGGGTTTGGCCTTCCTAAAGCTCGAAAGTCCTTTTTTTCCCTTTTCTCTCACCCTTGTATTCATGCATTCCTGTGTTTTTTATATTGAATGCATGCTTGGTTCTGGTTATATGCTTTGAGTTTGTGTCTGATTTAGATTTGAATCCAGAATAATCATTCACAATGAGCTCAAGTTAGCCTCAGAGTCTTGATCCCTAAATTCTTCTATTCACTTGAACGCAGAGGTGCTTCCTCAAATATATGTGCAAGCAATTTCATTGTCTTGATGGCATGAAACAATGAGAATAACTAGAACTACAGCCCTTATAAATAAAAAAGTAACAAAGTTTGCATACCCAGCATGTCTGGCTTCATCCCTGGACATAAGTGCAAAAATTTCTGCCACAACTGGATTTGTTTTCTGTAACATTAGCATAAAACAGTAAGCAACATCAAAGATAAATATGAATCATAGTATTATTATCACAAGAGAAGGTTGAAAAAGAGACATTGAATCTCAACCCTTTCTATAGGCTCAGTTTGGGAAGAGTACAGATACAAATATGTAAGGTGCAAATACAAGATATTTAGAACTAACGTATACAAGGTTTTGCATTGTACATATTTGTATTTGCACTCTTCCCAAACTGAGCCATAACATCAACAACAAAGCATTCTTTGTTTTTTTCTTTGGAAACCATAGAATAATCCTGGATTGGCCATGACAGTAGTAATTTAAATAGTTAAAAGATAACCCAACTTAAATAAAAAATAAACAAAAAGAGGGTTTCAAACAACAAAATAACCCAACTATAGCTTCCTTCTTTATTATGTATTGGAACATTATTGGTCTAAACTAAAATTTCAACTTGGAATTTTATTTTGTCTCTAGGAAATTTCAGCAAGTCCACATTGTGCTACCATCAAATAAAGAAAGTATAAAAGAAGATAGTTTTCTTAAAAAATTGAATTTGTTCCCAGGAATTTAATGGAAACAACTCAAAGAACTCAAACCCAGTTGGGGAAATTGACTGTATCAATGGATAGGTGAATCAACAGCTTACCTTTAGCCTCCTTCCGAGCTCCTTGTACAGCAGAAAACCAGAGAATTCAGCAGTGCAGGACCTCTCCAGAAACTCAACGAAAATCTGTCGCAGAGGGCCTTGCATGTTATCAGCAGCCTCCTTGAATTCCTTGTTCCTGACGAAATGGGTCTGGTTGTAATCAGTCTTGAACTCTTGGAGCAGCGCTTCAAAGTCGCTCTGGTTCAGTTTCCTGTTGATCTCAGTGTTAAAAAGTCTCTCCATTTCATCAAAGTCTGTGGTGTAGAACCTGGGTGTGAGGAGCGTCTCCTTAATCGCTGTCTTGCCTTTCTTGGACTTTGGTGCGGGCTGTGCAGTGGCTGACATTTTAACGCAGAACATTCCATAAGGCCTTGGGCTGCTCAACTTGGGGGTGGTTCCGCCAAATTTTGAGATGGGTTTTACCAGAGCCATTTCTGCAGCCATTTTTGGCCGGAATTTCAGCAGAGTTTCTGGGTTGAGGGAATTAGAACAGGGAGAAGGCAGTGGCTATGGGGGATGACTGGACTGTCGAGAGTGGCTTTGGAGGAGGGGTGGATAAGAGGTGGGTTTATAGTTGGTTGACAGTGATTGAATCTCATCCAATGAAATCTATGAGTTTTAATAAGGATTTGACACGTAGCAGATGCTCACCAGGTTCATCCAAGGAAACAAATTCCTGGTTAAGATTACACCTAGCTTATAACATATGGCCTTGCTTTGATTTCAGCAGATTCTTAGTAGATATTTTACTGTTTATTCTTATTTTTCAATTTTTTAGCTTGTTCTCCTTTGAAACCTTGTGTGAAAACTATTAACCCCGGATCTTGTTTTGAAAAACAGGGGCTGAAATTACGTACTAATAATAAGAAGAAGAAGAAAATTTAAGCCTGGTAATAAATTCATGGGTCCCATGTATTTTATTACTGATGTGTGTAACATTATCATTAGTTCCACAACGTGCTGAATAGACATCACGCTCGGTTAATCTTTGCTCATACGAGCCAAAGATGAAGTGATGAATTATCACGCTCGGTTAATCTTTGCTCATACGAGCCCAAAGATGAAGTGATGAATTTGGTTTGGTTCATTGAAAGCCAGTCTTCTTCTTTTCTCTTTTTTGGTAATCAAGTTGGCCTTACTTCAAGGCCAATTCCTCATTGGACTTCTAACTAGAGGAGTTTATGCTTATGGTCTGGTGAGTGAAATGGGCTTGTTTTTCAATCAGCAAATAAAACATTTCATTAATCAAATATATAGTTGCATATTGAATCGCACTTCATAGATTAGGCGGTGACTAATTTATAGATAGAGGGTAACCGACTTAGGCAAGTTGAAACCAACAAGCCATCTGTAAGATCAGCTGGTTGAGAATTGCTTGATAAGTGGAAGGTCTGAATTTTTCCACTTTGTGCATGTTCACATATAAAATGGCAATCGATGTTAATATGTTTGGTACGTTCGTGAAACACGGGATTGGCGGCAATGTGGAGTGTTAATTTGTTATCACAGTATAAGTGCATAGAGGATAGGGAGACTGTTAAGTCGTGGAGAACACGTTTCAGCCACAAGAGTTCAATAGTGGTAGTGGCCATTGCACAGTACTCAGCCTTGGCAGGGAGAAACTATGTATTGTTTCTTAGACTTCCATGAAAATGGTGTAGACCCCAACAAAGTAAGATAGCAATTAGTTGAACGCCAAGTTAATGGGCAACTGGCCCAATCATAATCACAATAATCTCAGAGCATGAGATCAGATGTGGCACCGAAGATAAGGCAATGGGACAAAGTGCCTTTGAAATACTGAACAACACACAATGCGGCACCAAGATGTTCTTGTCTTGGTGCTTGCATATGCTGGCTGAAAAATTAACTACAAAACTAATGCCCGGCCTTCTAATAGTAAGGTAGACTAAACAACTCACAAGACGTAAAAAATGAGCTGGATCATAAAGAGGAGGACTGGAAGGATCAATGAAGTGACGTTGTTGCTCAATGGGTGTAGGAGAAACCTTGCAATTTTTAAGTCCACATTCCTCGATGATATCTTTAAGGTACTTTTGTTGAATGAGATAAATGATAGGAGAAGAACAAACAATTTCCAATCCAAAGAAATATTGAAGGGAACCAAGATCTTTGATGCCAAATTGATCACCAAGAAATTGCTTAATGAGGGAAATGCGGGCTAGATCATTCCATGCAAGGATGACATCATCCACATATACCAAAATAGCAATGTAGGATTCCCTTTGGATCGGTGTGAAGAGAGAATAATCTGCATCTTTCTTAAATCCATGGGAAAGAATGGCTTGAGTGAATTTAAAAAACCACATTCTGGAGGCTTGCTTAAGCCCATATGGAGATTTTTATAACTTGCAGACTTTGTGGGTTCCATCCTTAGCAAATCCTTGTGGCATAGTCATGTAAACTTCTTCATGGAGATCATCATGAAAGAAAGCATTGTTAATGTCAAGTTGATGGAATTCCCATTGCTTAAGCCCATATAGCCTTTGGCCACCAGTCAGGCCTTGAATCTTTCAATACTACCATTGAATTTGTACTTGATTTTATAAACCCATTTAAAGGCGATGGCTCACTTGCCAAGTGGTAAGTCTACAATAGTCCATGTGTTATTTTTTTTCAAAAGTTTCCATCTCTTTTGTCATGGCTTCTTTCCAGCATGGATAGGAGAAGGCTTTTGAGCAAAGGAAGTGAACTCATTCTCAATAGTACTAGTAATAGTGTGAAGGGCAGTATTGACATTCTCTGTGATGGATGGAAGAAGTTGAACAAGGTAATCATGAAGGTGTGAGGGTAAGCAGGGTTCATGATGTGGCATGATATCATGTTGGATGGGTGGAACGGACATGGATTATGGGCTAGGACTGTCCCCGTGGGTGGGCTCATTGACTATGGGTGTATGGACTGGTGTGGTGGCGGTTGTATGAGTAGGTTCAGTGGGTAATTCATGGGTTGATGTGGTGATGGGCTCATGGGCTGGTATTTGTTCAGGTGGATAAGATTCAAGTAATGGGTCTGAAGACTATACCAGAGACAAGATAGAGGTAGAAGGAATAGTGGCTATAGTGGTTTGAAAAGGAAATATGGACTCAAAAAAAACAATATCTCTAGAAGTGAATATGTGGTGTGAGGTAAGGTCATAAATTCTATAGCCCTTATATCCAAGAGGGTATCCCATGAAGATGCACTTGGTAGCTCAACTTACAAATTTGTCCCTGGGGAGTGGTTAGACTTGAGTGTAACATAGACAACCAAAGGTGCATAATGTTTGTAGTCAGATAGTCTATGCAAAAGTATCTCAAATGGTGACTTGGCTAAAGGTCCTAGTGTAGGGAGTAAGTTAATGAAGTATACTGTTATAAGTAGACACTCTCCCCAAAAGGATACAGGAAGAGAAGCTTCAAATCGAAGAGCACAAGCGACTTCAAGTAAGTGGCGATGTTTGCATTTAGGAACACCATTTTGCTGGGGTGTATCTATGCAATACCCTTGATGAATGATGCCTTCAGTGGTGAAATACTGCTGAATGGGTCTGGAAAAGAATTCAGGCCTATTGTCTAAATGGACAGATTTTACATTACAATTGTATTGGCGTTTCACCATTACAAAAAAACCAATAAGAAAGAGCAATGCTTCTAACTTGAGAGAGACCCATGTACATTTACTAAAGTCATCAATAATAGTGAGAAAAAAGTGTGCACCTGAGTGGGAAATCATTTAGTAGCCACCCCAAATATCGTAATGGACAAGTTGAAAGGGAACAATAGTTTGAGAGACACTCATTGGAAATGGGATCTGTGTCTATTTGGTGCAATGACAAGAGTCACAACAAAAATCTCCACATGTGGTAGGTATGCCATTTATTAGAGAGATGTATTGCCGAGAAGCATGGCCAAGCTGCCTATGCCATGTAACATCATCAACAATAGAGGTAACAACAAGAGCTAAGGAGGATTGTGTTGGAACTGTGAAATGGTATAGACCATCATGGAACTTGCCCACTCCGGTCACTGTCTTGGAGGCAAGGTCCTGCAGAACACATAATGATGGGGAGAAAATTTCCACACATTGGAGTTGAGTGATTAGTTTGCTTATAGACAACAAATTACATTTAAAAGTGTGGGAGGTGAAGAGCATTATGAATGGTGTGTGAACCCAAATTCATAGATCCTTGATGAGTGGCAGAAATGATGGTTCCATTTGGTAAACAAATCAAATTCTCATGATTCAAACAATTTGAGTTGATTAACATGGATTCAGAAGTAATCATGTGGTTGGAGGCACCACTATCAAGAATCCAATTGAGAGGGGATGAATTCTTACCAGAGGCATTTGCTAAGGTGAAGTCAGATGTGTCATTGCTGAGGAGAGATAAAAGTTGAGTGTATTGCTTCATTGTCAATCATAGGATTGGGGGCTTATCAGTGAGACCTAAGGATTCAACAGTTGCACATGATGTTGGTTGGGACTATTGTTGTGAATTCTTGTTATCAGAATGACAATTTGATTGATTCTTTTCCCAATTTTTTGGATATCCAACAAAAGTCTTTGGTGTGGCCGTTCTCCTTGCAATGATCAGACTGTGGTCTTTGTCAAGGTTATCCATTTGATCCAGGTCCTTGTGTCAATGGTCAGCAAGATACATTCAACGTTGCTGCTTCTAGATGTCTAGAAGGATGCCACAGGGAGACTATGAGTTAATGTCTCTCTTCTTGAATAGCAAGTGTGTATGCACGATTTATGTTGGGTAGAGGATCTAATCTAAGAATAGTAGAACAGATTGAGTTGAAGCAATGGTTGAGTCCCATGAGGAACTAGTGTAGCTTCTCCTTATCTCTTTCAGCTACAAAGGTCTACGTTGCTCCACATGAACATTCAAAAATGGTGATGAATGTTCCTAACTCATCCCAGAATGCTCTGAGTTTGGTGAAGTGGGCAATGACTGTTAGATCTCCCTGTTCAAGGAGTGTCAATTCCCATTTCAGTTGGTGTATGCAAGGTACATTGCCTTGCGAGAATCACTCCTCAAGTTCTTTCCAGATCTTCGTAGCATAGTCAATGAATGCAACATTATTGTAGATATCTCGGGATAAGGAATTGAGAATCCACAAGACAACCATGGCATTACATTTGGACTAGGTCGATTCTTCTAGTGCTGCACCACTTGGTCGTGAAAAGGATCTGTCAACAAAACAGAGCTTATTCTTCGCTCTTAGGGTTGTCTTCATAGCATATTGCCATGTCAAAAAAAAATCTCCGATAAAAGAAGTTAAAATGAGCACTATTCTCGAGTTGTCTAAATGATGCAAGAAATATGGCAAACTTTTGTCGATCTCAATCGCCATTGGCAGTGGCAATTTGCAAGAACAAGAATAGGAAAAAAAAAAAGAGGGGACTGAAAACTTGAAAAGAGAGTGAGACACCTCTCAGTATCGCCTTTTCCGCTCTTATACCATGTAAATTGGTATCAGACACAAGAAAGAGAGAAGATTGAATCGCACTTCATAGATTATGTGGTGACTAATTTATAGATACAGGGTAACCGACTT